TAAATTTTATATACAAGTTATCCAAACACAATATTTTCAAGTAGGTATAATAACAATTTTGTTGATTTTATAGGGTTTTCCACTTGTTCAGGTATTGGGTACATGTTGGATAATCTTATAGTTGGGGAAATATTTTCGTTTAAATTTTAAACGGCTTATCGTTTCGTTAACAAGGTCGAAGGGCAGGACGGGAAGCACAAAAACGTAAAATATTAAGATTAGAAAGGGTCATAGTTGAGATCAGGTTTGATTGTGTGGCACGGAAAAAAGGCAATTTTTATGCTCGTTGCGCCTCCGTCCGTGATCCTCGAATGTTTTATTTTATTTCTGCAGAGGGGAGCGAGGGATCAAAGGATCGAGATGCTTATAGCGCCAGGATAACAACTTGATACTTCCGCATCCCAGGATATTCGATAAAGAACATCGAATTTATGGATATTAAAAATTAAATTATTGCTTTAAATTTAAAAACAAACATATGTATATGTATGTAACTTCAAAGCACTAAATTCCCTTAAACAACATAAATACTTATATCATTGAGTAAAGGAGTGAAGGAGTACATATTAATCAATGCTTATATTAAGAAATTACATGCTACCTATATGTTTGTTTGCTAATTGGGATCAAAATAATAAAATAATACAATTGTCCAGCTAGTATTGCTATGTACCTACTTGAAACACTGTTTTAAAAATTAGACTTGTTAACATCAGTTTGTAGTTTGTTGCTTTTATTTTGTAAAATTTTAACATAATTATTAGTATAAAACCTGTGATTTTAATTATTTTAACAAAGACAACCATTTTACTGAAAGTTTTGTAAAGGTAATATATATAAATATATACTATACCTAGTAGGTACGAATGTATTTTATATTTCAGTATCTAGCAAAAAAGTTGTTAAAAGTTAAACAAAACAAAATATAAGGTTTAGGTCACTATAGGGATATTTTTATATTTCTTTAATACACGTATTTATTTATGATTTGAATATTTTTTTCCAAATAACCAATTATTTCGATTTTAAACAGAAAAAACTAATATTAAAATAGATTAACTATTCTTTTACATATACCTAACCCTTATTACCTATAGGTATTTATGCAAGAAATTTATTATATATTTTATTTAATAAATAGCCTAAACATTATTTAACTGCAAGCACGAAATTAAATTAAAGTAACATGCATTTATGACTGCAAAAAAACGAGATTTAATGCAAAAATTTAACCTAATTTCTTAAGGGTATGTAATATCTCTATAAAGTAGGGCACCACAATGATATTTTACCAACTTGGCCATATCGAGGATTTATTCCGAATATTGCCGAACCGTTAAACTTTAGCTGCTAAAGCATTATAATTATGGTAATAAATTTAAATATGTAGTGCCACTATAGTAGTGGTTATGATAACTTAACACAAAGATGACGAGTACAAGTATATATAGTACTATACTATAGTATATTTATATATTTAGTATATATACTATATATAGTAGGTACTATACAGACTGTATAGAATCAAGTAAGTAAGGCTGGAGACAAGGATGACAAATTATATTCTGATCAGAGAAAAAGAAACAAACTTTAATTGGGCGTGGTTTAAACCAAGCCATTCGTAATTACGAACCATAGTTGCCAGGTTGTTTTAAATCAGAACAGAACGATTATAATTATTTAATAAATAGTTCAATTTTATTTGTTTGAAACTTTAAAAATAACAAAAAAATTAATAATATGTCAAAAATAATTTGATTTAGTTAATTTCCTTACTTTTAATATTAAAAAATAAGAAAAACAACCCTTTTAGGAAACAATAACAGCATATGGCAACAGCGCGCCTTGCAGCCAGATACAAGGACATGCAGTGGGCGGGGTTTGGCACTTGTTTTATTCAATTTTATTTGTTTGAAACTTTAAAAATAACAAAAAAATTAATAATATGTCAAAAATAATTTGATTTAGTTAATTTTCTTACGTTTAATATTAAAAAATAAAAAAACAACCCTTCTAGGAAACAATAATAGCATATGGCAACAGCGCGGCATGCAGCCAGATACAAGGGAATGCAGTGGGCGGGGTTTGGCACTTGTTTTATTTAAGTGTATCTATTCGTTTTAACACACACTGTATACTACTATAGTAATATATGTAATTTTGTAAGCGATTTGTTAAATTTCGTAGTTTACAGATTATTTTCTTAATGTTTAACAAATTATTTCGTTGAAAAAATACACGTGATTTCAGGCAGCCAAACAAAATATTTTACAATGATTTTTATTGTCATCCATCCTGCTTCAGCACAACAATACGCATCAACAAGTACAACTGATTTCAGCGTCTGCAACTTATTGTTCTGCTTACATTATTCTGATTCGTAACGTGTTCGTTAGAACATGTGTTTATAATATATTACCAAAGTGTTTATAATATATTACCAAAATTTGTTATTGGGATTCCTTATATCTTCTAACGAGTGTTCGAATTCCGAAAAAATATGCCATCACTGGTTTTTAAACTAAAATTTGGGGATACAGTGAACTGGAAAAGTTACGAAATGCATCAGTAACTGTTGTTGTAGTACTGAAGTTATATTGTACCAAATTTCTATATAATTTGATGTTTTCAGAATGGTGTGTTATTTAATTTTGTGTATGTTATTTATGTGTTCATTTATGTAGGTATGTGTTAATTTTTTTTAGAAAATTAATTATTAAAGGGGCATTCCACGTTACTCGGTAATTTTTGTCCCGCCCGTCACAATTAAAAATTGTGAGTAAAAACTACAACACTGAAAAAATGTATCCTTAGCCGATACCGAAAAATTGTTAAATAAGTATAGATTGTTACGGTTGAAATAGATGACAGCAAATGTTTGTGGTATTTATTACCACAACAAAAATGTTTTTAAGTCTTAGTAATGTTAAATGAGATGTCGTGTTACATATTAACCATTAATAGCTTCTTAAGCAGTACTACAACGTTGTGGTATCAAATAGAATTACCGAATTCTGATAGTAACTACTGCATTATAGTAAGTCTGAACATTCTTTAGTCGTTTGAAATATGCTTTAAGTGAGATATATTTAATAACAACGAAATGCTATTAAAAAGAGTAATATTTATTGTTTATTAACTTATCAGGGTAATATTTAGTACTTGTATAACCAGTATGTACTTATGTTACGGTATTTAACCAATAATTTTCTTATTTGGTAAGCAGTACTACTTCCAAACGTAAAGTTACCAAATTCTGTCAAAAAATAGAGGGACATTTTGTGTAAATTAAACTTAATTACAAAAATGATACAATCAACAATATTTAAGTAACGTCAAATTTTCAATTTGCATTGTATCATTGTGTTAATTTTGTAATTAAGATAAATTCATACAAAATGTCCCCCTATTTTTAGACAAAATCTGGTCACTTCATCCAAACGGAATAAATACTGAATTAAAAGGTTATCGATTATAGATTTTTTGGTGTTATGTAAAAGTATGCAGTAAAGGTTATAGAATAAAAGAGAACATGTTTTTCAACAAATTTTTATTAAAAAAATATATAAAATTCTTAGAATAAAATAAATGATATCTTCTCCTTAACTTTTATGATAAACATAAAAACCTAAACCAACAATAATACAATATATAATATAAGAAGGTGTAACAATATAACATTTAATAAAAATATAATAAATAATTTACTTATTTGTTAAATTTTACTTAATATTAAACAAGTGTTTGTCATTCCCAAAAGGGTTAGCTATAAGTTTTCAAACTCATAGCCTCACTTTATAGATATTACCATAGAACACTTGTTCTGTGGATATTACAAATATATTAAAAAATAACGTCAAAACTCTTCAAAACAAATATTGAACATTGAATCTTATTATAATAATACCTGTAACATACAGGCTGTAAGAAGAAATACCCAAATAGGTTTTTTACGGAAAAGCATAGAAAAGAATAGTTTTTCTATGGTAAAGGGCAAAAATGTATATCCTGTCACCACGCAAAGGCTCCAAGCGAATATAAACCTAAAGGTGATACTGATCAAACTATTAAATAGAATGAAGTAAGTACCCCTTTACAAGCAAAAGCAAAAAGTGTAATATTCGAATGAAGTAAATTAAAGTTATGTTAGGTATATATTCTTAATAATACATAAATAATTCAGTATTTACTTACCCTTAAAAACACAAATTAAATCTTGTAACTTCCAATTTATTAGTAAATCGTCCATTGAGGCGTCTTTATGCAAGCTTACTAAAGGTACGGTTTCGTTGATGCGACTCGAGCGACTGCGGCTTGCGACTGCGATTGATCGCAGTCGCAGCCGCAATATTGGGTGTTTTCGTTGATGCGACTCGAGCGACTGCGGCTTGCGACTGCGATTGATCGCAGTCGCAGCCGCAATATTGGGTGTTTTCGTTGATGTGTCTAGTTTTATGCGATTTCGCTTAAACAAATAACATGGACAGCGATCTATTAACACTAATTCTCTTAGAAGAAGATGAAGATGAACAGTGCCTCCTACAGGCATTATTAGAAGAAAAAAGATGTGAGAAACATAATTTATTTAAAAGGCGTACAGAAGAAGGATATTTTAATTTACTTATAAACTCCCATTTAAAAGAAGATGTTAAAAAATTTAGAGACTTTTTTCGGCTAAATCCTGATCAGTTTAATTTTGTTTTGTCCCTAATACAAGAGGATATAAAGAAGCCTGCAACAAATTGTGTAAGATTTCCCATTACTGCGGAGGAAAAGCTGGCGTTAACGTTGAGGTAGGTAAGAAAAAATAAGTATTTTAAATAAACATAGGTACTATAATATCAAAAAAAAAAACATTATAATTTAACAAAGTAATAAGAAATAATAATAGGAAATAAGAAATTATTAACAAGAAATAAAAGTTAAATGTGAATGTTTGCATAAAACTGTTTATGCTTACGTAAATAAGAAATATCGAATATAAAATAATAATAAGAGTTGGGAATTTTTAATTTAAGTTATTGTTTTCTTATTATTAGAGCATAAACTCAGTTTAAGTCAACACAGCAATTTTAACTAAACATAGGTACTCCAATATCACAAGTAAAGAAAGAACATTATAATATAACACATGTGTTGCAACTATAAGTCCATATGTCCAGATGCATTGGAAAATGCTGGATTTTGATTTTCTGGATTATAGTCCTTAAAAAACGAACTTACAGCGGTAGTATGTGATTGTTCATATTGAGAAGTATCATAAAAATGTACATTTGATCTTTCGGTGGGGGCGGTTGATTGCGAAGTATTAAAATTTGTAGACGATTTTAGTGGCAAATGTGTGGCAGCTAGCTCTATATCACTTACAAGTTTTAGTATGCCCAATTTCGCTTCATTTAATAGAGCAGGTGGAAATTTTTTAACTGTCATACTAATACTTCTCATAAACAAATCAACTTCATCTTCAGGCTCTGTTTTATCTTTTTTTTTGTGCATTGCCTCCAGGATCTCCATACGCTTCTGAGATCTTTCTTCAAATTGAGCAATTAATGAATTCTTTGATACCCTGGGCTGGGATTTGTTTAAATTTCTTTGTAACGGCGTGGAACTCCGACTTTCAGATGTAGAACTTTCCTGGTCCCTATCCAGTATTTTATTAAATTTTGTGCCTGGTGTTCGGGAGGTGGATGGGCTTAAATATCGTTTAAATAAATCTGAATTGTCCAAGGTGGATTCATCAGTTGGCCCAATCTCACAGTCCATCTCATTTGGGCTGTTAAGTGGAGTTTCCTCTTCTTCATCGGCGAAAGTACTTTTAGATGCCCGTTCATGTTTAACTGAATCAAGGAAGGAAAGCCGATCGAACAGGGTCCACTTTGTTGGCTTTTGGGAAGAAGCTGAACCAGTCCCCAATTTGCGTTTCTTTCTATTTCTAAAATAGGTATCCTTTATATTCTTCCATCTTTTTTTGCAATCGTCAGCTACAAAAAAACACACTTTTTTTATTACCTTTTAGGTACCCTGTATACAATTTATGTTCAAAGTCTTATTTTAGGTATATGGCAACTGGAGAGTCCTTTAGATCTCTTGGATTTGCTTTTAGAATCTCACACAGTTACATAAGTGTAATTGTCAGAGAAACTCTATCAGCAATATGCAAGAACTTGGTGCCTATTTTTATTCCATCGCCAACAAAAGAAGCATTGACCAAAAAAGCGCAGGAATTTTGGGACCGATGGAATTTTCCAAACTGTATTGGAGCCTTGGACGGCAAACATGTTAGAATGTTTGCTCCAGCAAAATCCGGATCTCTATATTTTAATTATAAAGATTATTTTTCCATTGTTATGCTTGCTTTAGTTGATGCAAATTATAAATTTATTGCTTTAGATGTAGGATCGTACGGAAAAGAAGGTGACAGCTCAATATTTAATAAATCCGATTTTGGAAGAAAAATAATGCGCTCTGAGGATTTTTTTCCAGCGGAAAGAATGTTGCCTAAATCAAATAAGGTATTGCCGCATGTAATTATCGGAGATGAAGCATTTCGTTTGGATAAACACCTAATGAAACCGTTTACTAAATCGGCAGCTAGTTCTGATAAACAAAAAGCCATTTTTAATTACCGCTTGAGTCGGGCACGAAGAGTGAGTGAAAACGCTTTTGGTTTGATTTCTCAGGTGTTCAGGGTGTTTTATACACCTATAGCTATAAAACCAGAGGTATGCGATGACTTGATAATGGCAGCTTGTTGTTTGCATAATTTATTGCGGGAAGGATACTTGGAGAAAAAAGGGCTTCCCTATTACGAGTATGATTTAAACGAAGAAAACTCAAATGTTTTTCAAAATCTTACAAGAGCGGGAGGGTATCAAAACTTTGAAGGGTTTCATGTCAGAGATCAGTTTATGAGTTTTTTTTTACAAGAGGGGTCCGTCGAATGGCAAAACCAACAGGTTTCCAAACTAAAATAAATATTATGAGGCAATCTATATATATATATATATATATAAATATATATAGATATAGTAGATAATAATGTTATTAAATTATACTCATAATATAAATACTAGGGTGGTTCTTATTTGACCGATGTCGAAATTTCACTCATTTGTTTTTAAAAAATATTAAAAAAGTGTATGCCAAATTTGAATGTCATAACTTATTTCTTTATATTGCCTGTAACAACGAGAAGTTTTCCAGATAGAGGATTTTTGCCTTTAGTGTATTAATTTTTTAAAATTACTATTAATCTATGAAAAAGTATAATTTTTTGAGAAAATGTAAAAAAAGAAATCATGTTTTTGTATCCTAAGGTATTTTTTACTTCGCTCGATTATTACTTACAGTTTTTCATATATATATGATATATAGGGGATTTTTGCTTTAAAACGCAATAATTTTATAAAATCATTAAAATAGTTATTTACGATATAAGTGGGATAAGAGCTTTATTAACGTACGCATGCGAAATTTGCCCAAAGAGTGCGTAGCACGAGTTGGGCAATCGCAAAAGTACGTTAATAAAGCGTTATCACACGTATATTGTACAAATTTTTATGTACGCCTCTAAATGAAAAAATAAACGGTAATTATTTTTGTCTAAGACTTAATTTAGGGTTATTTTGACATTTTGACTTTTTTATTTGATTGGTTAAAAGCAGAGAAAAACGCGTGCGTTAATGAACTTCTTATCTCACTCAAAATGAGTGGGATAAGAAGTTCTTATCTCACTGGCGTAGATAAATTATTATTAATGAACAATTCTATTTTTTTGAGGAAATGAAGGGAAAATATGGTACTTTTAAACAAACAAAAAGAATTCATGTATGTCCATAGTAAGGTCTTTTCTACTTCATTCAATTATTACTATAGTAATAATTGAATGAAGTAGAAAAGACCTTACTATGGACATACATGAATTCTTTTTGTTTGTTTAAAAGTACCATATTTTCCCTTCATTTCCTCAAAAAAATACTATAGTAATAATTGAATGAAGTAGAAAAGACCTTACTATGGACATACATGAATTCTTTTTGTTTGTTTAAAAGTACCATATTTTCCCTTCATTTCCTCAAAAAAATACTATAGTATTGTTATTTTATTGAAAATGGCATAAAAAACAAAATATCAGTGATAATTTGCATTTAATGCATAATTAGTGTGTTTTGAAAAGTAATTTTGTACTTTTCTAATGTTGGTGCTACCTAAATATCTTTTAGGCAATCTTAAATTATTTGTTAAATATCTTTTAGGCAATCTTAAATTATTTGTTTTTCAAAACAAATAATTTAAGATTGCCTAAAAGATATTTAGGTAGCACCAACATTAGAAAAGTACAAAATTACTTTTCAAAACACACTAATTATGCATTAAATGCAAATTATCACTGATATTTTGGTTTTTTATGTCATTTTCAATAAAATAACAATAATAGTAATAATTGAGCGAAGTAAAAAAGACCTTATGATGGACATACATGAATTCTTTTTGTTCTGTTTAAAAGTGCCATATTTCCCTTCATTTCTTCAAAAAATTAGAATTGTTCATTAATTATTAATGATTTTATAAAATTATTGTGTTTTAAAGCAAAAATCCCCTATATGAAAAACTGTAAGTAATAATCGAGCGAAGTAAAAAAGACCTTAGGATGAAAATACATGATTTCTTTTTTTTTGTAAAAGTAACTTATATCCTCTTAGTTTTAGTTTTTACTTATACGAGCCCTAACCACAAAATGTTCGGACACTTCATAATTTATACAGAAATATTTTTCGTGAATACTATCTCAAAATTATTAGAAGTTATGAAAAATTCAGCTTATTTTGGCATATACCCCTCGAAGCGATTTTTATTTTTAAAAAGTTTACCTTTTATTTTTAGCTTTTAAAAAAAGGATAACTTTTTAACTTTTTTTTGTATGAGTAAAAAAAGTTATAAATGGCCCCATTAAAAAGAACATAAAATATTATACAAACCCTGAAAATTTGGTAAAAATTGTATAAATAATAAGAAAGTTATAACGATATATATATCTGCAAAATCTCCCGTTTCCTAAGAAAATTGCAAAAACTCTTTAAAAATAGCATTTTTAAATTACTTATACTTTTTTATAACTTATAAAAAGCTAAAAATAAAAGGTAAACTTTTTAAAAATAAAAATCGCTTCGAGGTGTATATGTTGTTAAATTTTTAATTTGATGTTTTCTGTCTTTTTCATTGTTTACACATTTTTTATTATGTTCTATACGCACAAATGTTTTTTAAACATTTACTGTGTAGAATATTAGCATATTTATTGCAAACTTATTGTAAATTGTAAAGTTATTTGTCAATTTTATTTTATAATGCAATAAATGTTTTAATTATTATTATTATTATAATAGTAATTAAAAAAAAATACTACTTTAAAGGCAAAAATCCTCTATCTGGAAAACTTCTCGTTGTTACAGGCAATAGAAGGAAATAAGCTAGGACATTCACATTTGGCATACATTTTTTTTAATATTTTTTAAAAACAAATGAGGGGGCGGCACGATTAAAATTTCGACATCGGTCAAATAAGAACCACCCTAATAAATACCTAATAAAAGTTTTAAAGGCAAACGTATTCATATTTTATGGAATAAAACAAATTGTTTTTATTTATTATTTTTAATATAAATAATATTTAATTTTATATAGAAAATAATTTGTTTTTGATTAATGTTATATATCAACCAACTTTTAGAATAGGTTTTTCTGTTTCGAATAAATATTTTATTTTTTCATAAACTGTACAGGGTTGTGGATATATATTTTTTAAGGAAAATAAACAATATTTTCTTAAATGAAGTCATATGAAAAGTTTATTTAATTTAATAAATTTATATGTAATGTATTAATTAATTAATGTGCTATTATTATTATTGTTATTACTGATGTTTTTATTACAATAAAATGTTTTTGAAATTATTTGTTTTTGTAAATGTTTTCATATAACATAAAAAATTATTACTACATACACTTTTATTACTATTTTGTATTTATATTAAAATAATTGTGCACTACGTCCCCATTGTTTTATGTTCTTAAAATAAAATATGAATCTCAAATTAAAATTTATATAGGTATTTATTTATATTTTATGTGGTTTTCATGACGACAAATTCAAAACTATATACTTACTATTTTTTCCCACAGAAAATGCTATATTTTTCCACCCATTCTCTTTAATAACTATATTTTTGTAGGCTTCATTTTCGTAGTCAAAAATAGAGGGATATTTTTGAACTTCTTCTACCAAAATTTCATCCTCAGTTGCACTAAACTTTGCCATTTTTAATTACAATCGCAGACGACTGCGATTTGACTGGTCTATGTAGCAGTCGGGTCGCAACGGATGCGGCTCGATCGTGATCGTCTGCGACTCAACGCGCCAACCAAAACACATACACACAAATTGTACTCAGCAGTGGCGCGGCTACAATCGCAGCCGCAAGCCGCAGCCGCGAGTCGCATCAACGAAACCGTACCTTAACGGCTGCGGCTCGATCGTAGTCGTCTGCGACTGAACGCGCCAACCAAAACATATACACACAAATTGTACTCAGCAGTGGCGCGGCTACAATCGCAGCCGCAAGCCGCAGCCGCGAGTCGCATCAACGAAACCGTACCTTAACAACAATGGCGATTGTGCGAGATGAACAGTATAGGTAAGCTTTGTTTTAGTATTATCAACTTCAAAATTTCTAAGATATAATAGAACGTTGTAGTAATACTTA